TTACTTTTGCTTGCATGTTTTGGGGAGAAAAAATTCTTCAGTTTTGATCATGAAGCGTCAAGCTCCTTGTTTTTTTCACTGTATTTGAGCATTTGAGCTGCTCTCAACATCTACTTTGAACCAAATATCAAAAATGTACAACACAAAGAGCCGACTGATAATCCACCCTTCCTGCTTCTCTCTCAAATATTATGAGTGCCACTTGAAGCGTGTCAGTCATATTTTTGATTTATGTTTGTGCCACAGCAGGGTAACTTCAGCTGAATACGATAGGTGGTTTGATTATTATGGACAACCTGAGCAGTGGTTTCGAAAGATAATTTTCAAAACCATAAATTCAGCATTTTTTTTCAGTTAAAGCACTGCAGCAGAACATCAACTCTTTTGAATTACTTATTTACATAAAGTATTCTGTGCATTTTCACGCAAACACATCAGTCTCCTGAGAAACTAGGCACTGTAATGAATCCTCAAATTAATTATGCACAGTTTGGTGGGATAGACATAGCAATGATGGATTATTATGTGAAACAAAGCGAAACAGATGCTTTGTGCATAGAAACATACACACAACCATTGCCCCCCCCCTATTTAGTTAAATAAAAAAACTGTAAGGTTGTCAGGTTTATATATGACCTTTTGTTGTAAAGAAAAGGATATATCTAAAGAAAGCCTTTTTATCCAGTAGCGGTATAGCCTCTGATGTTGGAGATGTTTAATTTCAAAGGCCCATGGTGAATTATTATGCTTTTCACCTTCATATCCACAATAGATCAAGTAGTTTCTTTATTTCAGGACAAGCTTAAGGTTATATGAAAAAAGAAACCTTTAGGGTTGGGTACTGAACTCGGTACTTTTAAGGGTACCGACCGAATTGCGTCCGATACTACCGAGTACCGATTCACGTTAAATCAATCGGTGCCAAATTTCGGTACCTGAGAGCGCATCTGGGCACATACGCTACAGCAGGGATGGGCAACTTTGATAGTGACGAGGGCCAGCATTTTTTCTCCTTTATACCAAGGGGCCAGATTACTAATCCACGTCCACACACCTTTTACACCGTCTTACTCCATTTCCTTTTTACTGAAGGAAATTAAAGTATAACTAATGTAATTTGTTTTTAAAGATTTTATTAAGTATAAAACTTGTGCAGTTATGCTAATTCAGAAGGACAACTTTGTTGTCAGTGGACAGAAATATTACCCCGACAAGCCAATGTAAACATTTCAATTGCATTGTCTGTAAATTTGCAACAAACAAATATACAGAGGTCCTTTTTTTATTAGTAGCCTACAGAACATTCTCAAAACGACCTAAAAGGACAGTTAAAAATAGTTATTCCAAATGGTACTATAAAATAACCTGGTATCTGCAGGATTTAAAAAATCAAATTTAAGACCTTTAAAGACCTTTTTAAGATCTGCACTTCACATTTCAGCCTTTAAACAATTTTTAAGAAAAGGGAGGAGTCAAAAGTATCAATTATTATATTAATTTAAACAATTATTATCAATTAATTATTATATTAAATAACATACATATACATTTAGTCATTTAGCAGATGCTTTTATCCTAAGCGACTTACAAATGAGGACAATAAAAGCAGTCAAAACTAACAAAAGAGCAACAATATATAAGTGCAAATGACAAGAATTAAAATAGAATAGAAAGTGTTAGAGTTAGAGGGTCAAATAAAGGTCAAATATATACATCTTAGTGTCTTAATTGTTTAGATTTTATAATGCATTAGCTTTTTGTCGATCCACTGGTTTACATTTAAAAATATGTAGCAAAAATAGCAGATGGGCTTTTTGAAGAAGCAAATTCGTTCTCTGCCAGCAGGTTTCACTTTTGGAACTGCGCATATAGTGCTTTCCCCGGTAACCGCAGTACACAAAGCTGACGTGCAGCGCTCAAGTTTATTCAGTGAAACTGTAGCCTTTTGAAGTTTAATTGTCATATTAATCCATATAGCAAAAGATGTTTTAAGGACCCGCGGAAACCCTAATAAGAACATAGTCCAGTGCAAACATTTCTGTCATGCATTTGGCAAAACACTTTAGTTGACTATGAATTTTACCTTTGAAATTTGAGGCAAGTGCAACTCTGGCGTCCCCAGTGTTTGTGAGCAGTGGTGTGATGGCGATTTAAATAAAATACAGATTTCCAAACATATGGGTATCCCCTTGAACTTGGTAAAAAGATTTACCAGCTTGACTTGAAAATACTGTTTTCATGGTCAGTTTTTCATTTATTATTTGCTAATGTTAATGAATGTTTGGTGGGAAGTCGTGGCCTAATGGTTAGAGTCGGACTCGTAACCCAAAGGTTGCGGGTTCGAGTCTCGTACCGGCAGGGATTGTAGTGGGGGGAGTGAATGTACAGCGCTCTCTCCCACCTTCAATACCAATGGAGATAGTATTAACATCATAAACTGAAAGCAATCTTTACGTGACTTGCTTTTCAAATGTTTTAAAATTGATCATCCGAGTCTAATATGATCCAGCGGGCCAAACTAAAAGACACTGCGGGCCCCAGTTGCCCATCCCTGCATTACAGAGAGAGAAAGAGAGACCCTGCAACTCTTCAAACAACACACAGGGCAAGCCGAAATGTTCTGAATTGTGGTTACATTTCTGGGGCCATATGGTTTCTGCGAAAACGCGGACGGGATCGTGGAGGCCATTCATAAAAAACGCGGTTTTGTTTACCACACAAATGCTGAAGCACGCGTGATGCTTGCGGAGATTTTCGGCCGCTGAGTTTCAATGACGGCATGAACACAACAACTTGATCTCCAGAGCTGCTGTGAGAGTCACTTCACAATAATTTTACCGCTTCATTTGAGGAAACTAGCATCATCATACTGTATACACACAGAAACTTCATGGCAACCTGTCAAAATAAAGGTATATATTTTTTAAAGGTATATTCACACAATTTTTCTTCCTTATATTAATTTCAACAGTAAACCTCAGTTTGTTTGGCAAAAAATAAAAGGGTTTAATTTTTAATTTGATTTAAAATAAATGTTTAATGCCTTCATTTGATTTTCAGAAAAATTAAAACAAGAATTTCTGGGGAAAAAAAGAAAGAAAGAAAGAAAGAAAGAAAGAAAAAAGTTTGTAGGGCCCTATTGTTCACAATGTTGAAATTTAGACTTTTGGACTTAATTTTCACTGAAATAAATGGTTTTGTAATTACACAGAGAGTAAAGTTCAGGTACCGATACCGTACCGGTTAAAATGTGAACGGTACCCAACCCTGGTGTCCGTACTTTTAATAACTCCTTGGTTGAACTGCAGGTTGTAGTAACTCAAGAGGAGAAGGTAAAGCAAGGACTTTAATACCGGAAGGAGACACACACAAATGCAATAAGGCCATTCTGAATCAAATCTCTTTTTCCATAGAGTGGAAATCTCACTCCAGCAGTCACATGGCTTATAGTCATCTTCTCTCCATTTTGCCCTTGATTTTATAAATAACCAAATTGGGTCCATTTACATCTACACTATAATGCATCCTCTTATTCTTATTTTGATGTGAATCAAAAACTGTATGAAAGAAAATCAAATAAAAAAATCCTTGTGAATATTAACATAAAAAAACTATTTCAGAGTAGATTCTGCCTAACGCTCTGCTGATAAAAGATTTGAAATTCCATTCCATAAATTCACCCAAAAATGAAGATTTACTGAAAATGTACTCACCCTCAGGCCATCCTAGTTGTGGATGAGTTTGTTTCTTCATGATTTGGAGAAATGTAGCATTACACCACTTGCACACCAATGGATCCTCTGCAGTGAATGGGTGCCGTTAGAATCAGAGTTCAAACAGCTGATAAAAATCTTGTGAAGTTAAAAGCTGCATGTTTGTAAGAAACAACCCCATCATTAACACATTTTTTACAGTTGCTTTTGGCCAAAATCCATAATGACGCTTCCTCCAGTGAAAAAGTCCATCCCATTTGTTTAGAACTGTTTTCACTTGTTAATGGTGCTTTATGTTACCTGTGGATTATTGGGATGTTTTTATCAACTGTTTGGTTTCTGACGGCACCCATTTACTGCAGAGGATCATTGGTGAGCAAGTGATGTAATGCTAAATTGAACTATTTAAACTTTTAGTTAAAAAAAAGAACCACAGAGTAAAATCTGAGATTTTCTGAAAAATAATTTATTTGCAGAATAAAATAAGTTATTTTGCCATAAAAAAATTATATGAAAAGTACACTGCTTAAATTGTACCCACAGCGACGCCTGTAAAACAAGAATGATGTGCTTTGAAGCTTTATGGGAAATCCAAATAATGTGAAATCAGAAATTCATCATGAACAGTTTTCATCCCAATGTGTCTTTTGTATACAGCACTATTTCTAATCTTCTAAGAACCCACAGTGCCATGTTTTATTGCAGTGAAGTGAAATAAAATAGTTTAATCTCAATCCAAAGCTGAAACGCAGTTTACATGTAACATTATAATTGTATACAATTTCATTCTTCATCAAACTCAAATACCAAGGCCCAGCCTGATCATCAGAACGTTATTTGCTCTACAGCGAGATGAGAGCAACACTTATGAATGCCAATAGTCTTCTGCCATTTAATAAAATCGCCTTTTCCCAATACTTCTCCTCTGATGTCAGTCCCAATATCCCCAAAGTCAAGTCCCAAACGCCATTATTGTCATCTGAATAAAGAGGCATTCTTATATTCATTAATAAAACTACAAATAAACATTCTCTATCTGATAAATACACTCTCCCATTGCACAACTGTATAAGATGCTAATAATGTACAGTATCAATAACCTTAAAAAATTAAGACATTATAGGCCTTAATAAACAATATAAATTAAAAACAGAAGAAAGCAAATGCTGCAAAAAGCACTTAGAAAAAAAAACATCTCTCAAACACCCCTTTGAATGTTTTGAGAAATAATTGATATTGTTTTCATATATATATATATATACTGTATATATTGTATAAAATTGCAGTATGTAGTATACAATAGAATTATATATTAGAATTAATAAACAATGTGATGTACTAAATGATCCCCATAATAATAACGGACTGGGATGGGAACATAACCAGCATCAACCAGCCAGATGATAGATGACGGGTTAAACTTGCTTATCTTAGTTGTATATATAGTTTTTTACTCGAAAAACATTTTGTGTATGACTTCAGCTAATGCACAGCTGTGTGAAGTTAGCAAACCAGCTACACAGTCAGGCAGGCATTGAAGTAGACGCCTTCAGCTAACTACTACAACATTTTACTGGCACTGGAGAAACACCTTTGAAAGTACTTCTAAAAACCAGATGGACCCAGTAGAAGAGTTTGAAGGAGATTACAATAAAGCACAACAACAGTCCTGGAATAAGAGATAAACTCAAAAGATGATCCTTCAGTAGAACGATGCTTGAATTAGCATGAAACCACTATAAAACGGACTCCATGTTTTCACACCACTCATGATCCTCCAGGTTATAGATAAATTTAGTCCTGTTGACTTGGCTCTGACTGCTGTCCTTTCCGAGACTGTCCAGATTAACGGTGGACGAGAACATTTCCGTGGGCGTAACGTATCCTTCATGGTTTTTAATGTATTTCTTGTAGTTTCTGCGCAAGCATTGCCAGGTGCTTGTGTAGAGGAGGAACGCCATGACCTTGAGGACGATGGCCATGCTGACGTACAGGTGCCGGTAGCTCACGTTGTCGTACAGCAGACAGGCGCCTTTGTCCCCGCACTCGGTGCTCCAGAAAAGGCATGTGGAATCGATCCCCGTGCCAAATATCAAAGGAGGAGGAATGAACCCTGAAAGATCGTTTATGTATCATTTGAGATTTGCATTTTGAAGACAAAACAGACATTTTGATCTGCTTTTACACATAAAACAAGTGTTTTGCAATATTGAGAGAATGCAGCAAGTCTTAATTTTCTGAATAATAATGCAAGTTGAGAACTTCTTAATCATGACAAACAGCTTTAATTTGGCTGCTAGAAAACTATTCTTCTTTTTTTTTTAAACAGAAGTGGCAAATGAACTTTGCTTCTTTCAGTGAGGCAAACAGACTACTCTCCACAATTTACTGTGAAAGCATGTAGTTTGAGTTGTAATGTGGTTATGCTGTGCTGCGATATCTCACCTAACAGTCGCAGTAACAGAAAAAGAACTCCAAGAGCGTAAGACTTCAGCTCGGGGCTCACAGTTCTAAAAGAGCAAGAGACAAGTCAACATATTGACCACTAAAACATATCCATATTCATACACACACACACACACACACACACACACACACACACAGCAAATTCAAAGTAAATGTCCACTCAGATTTAAAAGGGAAAAAAATCTCGTATACATATTTATCAAATATATAATTTATTTTACTTATTTATTATACTACCAGTTTACCTTTATAAGAAATTAACACTTTTATTTAGCAATGATGCATTAAATTGATTAAAAGTGAACGTAAAGACATTATGATGTTGCAAAAGTTTTCTATTTTAAATAAATGCTGTTCTTTTGAACTTTCAATTCATCAAAGAATACTGAAAACATATTATCAACAAAAATATTAAGCAGCACACTGTTTTCAACATCGATAATTATAAGAAATGTTTCTTGAGCACCAAATCAATGATTTAAAGAGTAGGGGAATAACTTGCATTTTAAAATATTTTAAAACAGAAAACAGTTATTTTAAACCGTTTTTATTGACTTTTTGATCAAATGCAGCCTTGGTGAGCATACAGTATATTCATTCTAAGTCACAGATGATAGATAGGTGTTAGATAGATAGAATGATAGATGATAGATAGAACGATAGACAGACAGACAGACAGACAGACAGACAGACAGATAGATAGATAGATAGATAGATAGATAGATAGATAGATAGGGGAACTGTTGGAATCACTTTCAAAACCATCTTTCCAGCTGATGGACGATAAAAACATTGAGAGCCAAATATAATTATTTCTGCATTAAATAGCTTGAGCATCTAAAGCTGCAGACGACAACACTCCAGTGCACGCTTATAATAAATAACGCTATCATGGTTATCATTATAGTTATCGCTCTTGGTTTGTACGGGCCATAACACCGGAGCTGTTTTTTCCCTCTCATTTTAGTGTGTAATATGTGAAAGTAAGTCACCTGATGAGGATGATGACGGAGGGCGTCTGGGCCATGGCTCCGATCATACTGCAGGCACAGATCACACACAGGAAGGTGAGGAAGGCCTCCTGGCAGCCGGGACGTGGGCATTTGCCTGGCACAGCCGTGGCAAAGTCATTGTACGCAGAGATACACGCGCATACCGTCACGTTCTGAAAGTAAAAACCATCACAATCACTACACAGCCAGCAAATAACTTTGTCGTTTTTATGTCGTAATTATGTCATTTATATTCTCCTCATAAAATAAAACAGTAATTATGCTCATAATTTTGCCTTCTGATGTATGCAAATATTACAGTAATAATAATCTACTTTAAATCATTCAATATATGCCACCATTGAACATTAAATTAAAACAAGGATTTATTAAAAAAAAAAATGTAAATATTAATTTAGTGGACTGGTGTAAATTAAATGAGTCATTATTAGCTGTGTCACGGAGAGCGCTCCTGTTACTCTCTCTTCGGGCCACCAGAGGGCCCCATCACCAGAGTACTAGTTTCCTTCCCACACTACATTTCCCACGTTCTGAAAGTAAAAACCATCACAATCACTACACAGCCAGCAAATAACTTTGTCGTTTTTATGTCGTAATTATGTCATTTATATTCTCCTCATAAAATAAAACAGTAATTATGCTCATAATTTTGCCTTCTGATATATGCAAATATTACAGTAATAATAATCTACTTTAAATCATTCAGTATATGCCACCATTGAACATTAAATTAAAACAAGGATTTATTTAAAAAAATGTAAATATTAATTTAGTGGACTGGTGTAAATTAAATGAGTCATTATTAGCTGTCTAAATGTGCTATAGTCAATTTTATCTACAGAGAACTGATGCACCCATGAACTCTAGCAAGAACAGGCTCATTAAACCCACCAGTTGGTACATTCATGTCGTGAGCCAGTACTCAATTACGATAATGGTTGTGACTGTTGTCTTGGATTCATCTATTCCAGTTTGGACCATTTGCTTTGTATGGTAATGAGTGCAGAGGCCCATATTGCAGTGGCCATTAAGATGCCTGGCAGGCAGAACGCTGTGTCCTTTCCGACATACTGTATATCTGAGGAGCGATGTGGGCTTTGCTTCTAATGACCCACACTGGACGTGTGCTGCTGTCCAGAAAATGAGCGGAGAGCAAGAAAAACAGACATACAAAGAGTATTTGACAGCAAATAGGAAAGAAAGAGCGAGAGACAAACGTTGTTGTGTAAATGAGATGGGTAATGACCTGAGAGAGAGGAGGTGGAAGTCTGGTGCTGATGGCTCTGGTGCAGCCAGCGAAACAGGAGGACAAGTAGGTCACACCATTGGAGCCACAAACGGGGGCTGTCTAAATGTGCTATAGTCAATTTTATCTACAGAGAACTGATGCACCCATGAACTCTAGCAAGAACAGGCTCATTAAACCCACCAGTTGGTACATTCATGTCGTGAGCCAGTGCTCAATTACGATAATGGTTGTGACTGTTGTCTTGGATTCATCTATTCCAGTTTGGACCATTTGCTTTGTATGGTAATGAGTGCAGAGGCCCATATTGCAGTGGCCATTAAGATGCCTGGCAGGCAGAACGCTGTGTCCTTTCCGACATACTGTATATCTGAGGAGCGATGTGGGCTTTGCTTCTAATGACCCACACTGGACGTGTGCTGCTGTCCAGAAAATGAGCGGAGAGCAAGAAAAACAGACATACAAAGAGTATTTGACAGCAAATAGGAAAGAAAGAGCGAGAGACAAACGTTGTTGTGTAAATGAGATGGGTAATGACCTGAGAGAGAGGAGGTGGAAGTCTGGTGCTGATGGCTCTGGTGCAGCCAGCGAAACAGGAGGACAAGTAGGTCACACCATTGGAGCCACAAACGGGGCTAACGGATGAAGTGTAGCAGTTACAATGACTCATGCAGGGGGCTTCCGGTCTCTGGCCTACTTGCAGTGTCCTATATACACAAAAACACACATTCACCTGTTTGAAGCCAGTTCCTTTGTGTTGCATTTGATATATTTAGTGTCAGTGAGTTCATCTGATTTATCACTAACCTCAGGATTTACAGCCCTGTTTGTTTTACAGCTTAGATATTAGCAGGCCCAGATGGAATTGTTTGACTTTTGGGGATGGAATTGGTCTCATTTTGGGGAAGAACCAATAGCGTGGGATGGTTTACACAGAAATAGTGAACAAATACTGGACGAGTCTCTGCTTTGAGCCTGAACTAAACAGAGCAGCACTGACATCTTGTTCACGAATAAACTGAATGAACGAAACATCTGCTGACCGAGTGAACAAGAGGGGCATGTAAGTTCGTTTAGTTTGTCAGTTTCAATCAGAGAAGGATTATGAATGTGTAAAAAATGATAAAAATTAGGGATTCAAAATCCAATTCACTAAAACAAGTTTTCATAAAATTGTTCTGCTAATAATTTGCAATGAAATAAATAGTGAGGCATTAAAAAGAAGGAAAAACATTCTAATAATTAAATATATTAAATAGTAAAAATGATTGTAAATTTTGTAAAGTTGTTTTCTGCTATTTAATTCAGAATATAAAAATAATAAATATTCATAGATAATAATAATACTAAAATAGGGAATAATAATCTGCAACAAAAACTGTATTAGAAGTATATTATACTGTATTAGAAGAATATTATACATAAAATGAGAAAAAATAAAACAGGAAAATACACTAATTTTTGCCACCTACTGGTGTAATGACAAAAACGTCAAAAAGGATCAACAAATGAACAGATTTAAAGCATTCAAGTCACTGAGATCAATCAGAATCACACCACTATCTGTGCAGATCTATAAGCAAAGATTCCATGTGGGCCTGGAAAATAAATTGGATTGTATTACTGTATTAAAACCAGTAAAATCTATAAAATACTCAACCTGACTCATCCATACATACTACACTAAAATAGAGGTTTCAGCATGTAGACTTGTCACAAAGACATTATAAATGGCACAAAAAATAACAAGGCTGTGAGGAGAAAAAAGCAGCTGAGCCATCCGTACTCGTTGCCATAGGCGACGGTCACCCCAGCGACAGGTCCTGTGTCACAGCCCAGGAAGAGGAAGGACACGTAACAGGCCGTGGAGATCAGATTGACCAGCATGGCCATTCGAATCGCTCCCAGAGCAGACAGGTTCAGCTTCTTCACCAGCAAACCTCCCAAGAAAATGCCCAGACAGGCACACGGGATGGCCGTCATCCCTGTTTATGAAGAGAATATCGACAGAATAATGTGTTATGTCAAATAAAGCTTTGCTGTGTACCTGTATAACCTTTTATCTTTGTACTTTTCTTTGTATTGCGGCACTTCAGATGTTGATAAATTGCTTTTGCTGTATTCCTCATTTGTAAGTCGCTATGGATGAAAGCTTTTGCTAAATAAATAAATGCAAATGTTATAACTCTAAATTATAGTTTGTGCAATTTCAGGTTTACTGGGTAAGAGTCAAAGATGAACATGTTAAGATAAAAGTCCGTTCTAAAAGTCTGAGAACGTCTTGAAAATCTGGGAATACAAATTTATTTAACTAAAAATTGTTTTAATGAAAAATGCATAATTTGCAATGGAAAAACTCTCTCTCTCTCTTACAAATAAAATTACAATTTGTAAAACAGTAAATAACGCTAAAAATAGGGGGAAATCTGCAACATTTTTCAACGAAACTACTAGAAAAAAATATTTTAGATAAAAAAAAAAAATGCTATTGAATTTTAAAAATACACACATTTTCTGCTAATAATTAAAAAAAAGTTCTTTTAAATTAGTATATAATATTAAAAATAGGGGAAATTGACATTTTTCTGTTAATATTTTGCATTAATTTGTATTAGAGAAAAAAATAGTAAAATTAATTAAATTAAAATTAAATTAGGAAACAATGCAATGAAAAACTATTAGACAAAAAAATAACAAAAATTAATTGCAATTGCATTAAAAATTACTTTAGAAAAATGACAAAAAAAAACCAATCTGCTAAAAATCTGCAATGAAAAAGAACAGGACAAAAAGCTCAATGTATCTGTGTACTCGTGCATGCCTACAGTATATGTTTCATACACACCCAACAGCTGGTTAGCAGAGGTGGTGGTGAGGTTGAACTGCTGCTCCAGATATTTGCCCAGGAAGGCAGCAAAGCCAGCCACAACAGCAATCTCCATACAGGCAGCTAAGATAATACACGTGAACACTGGGTTTGACAGCAGGTGCTTGGTCACCTTGGGAATAACTGGAGTGAAAAAGGAAGCGACAGAGTGGAGAGACAGGGAGGGTGGAAGAGAGAGTGAGTGAGCCCAAAATACAGAGTAATGACAGACTAGTCTGGTCTATAGCATTCAATAAAAGTTAAGACTGACGTTTGTTAGACTTGAATGAAGAAACCGATGAATTAGGACTTATTCACCTCCTAATTTCCTGTTTCTTTTCTAAAGTGCTGCAGCAGAGCTGCGGATACATTCTGAGGAGCCATCATTTTGATTGATATACTTGACAGATGTGTCTGAAACATCACGACTGAGACTGCATTTATACCAGATGGCATAACCTTGAAAAATGCATCGACCATGTTGGACAAATCAGCTGCCTGCATTATTGCTGTGCAGTCTTGTGTGTTTGCCTTCAGCTTGTGCTGCCATGGCTTCTTTGCTAGTAATGCATCACATTAGCTAGTATGTAATCAGATCTTGCATGATTGATGGATGATGGTGTACAAAATGAGAGCCTTACAAGTATAGCACAATGCCAGTATAACAATTACTATATTTACAGACAAACAGACGAGAAACAAGAACGGGAGTATGAACCCGGAGAGTGACAGTTTGCATGTAAAACTCATAGTGCTTCATGTCTGGCTGGAATCATATTTAAAGCCTCGACTCTAATAAGCAGACCCAGAAACTAATGATTTTTTTTTTTTTTGCATGTTACTCCAAAGAAAATATGTTTTTCTCCATAATGTCTTAAATCTTTTAAATCAAATCAATCAAATTTTGTCCCCCTCTCCTCACTGCTATAAAATACATTATTTCATTCATAAGTCTTAATATCTTGCACATTGTTGCTTTTTGAGCAAATTTATATTGTTTCAAGAAAATGAGGCACAAATACTCTTTATCAGCATGATTGCTTTTTACAGTGCTCCAACCACCAGGCTTTATTTTATTTATTTATTTACTTTGTCTAATTGAACATCTTATTTCAAAAGAAACATGAGAGTAAAAAAAGCAAAATTAAATTACACAATATACTTCACTGACAAGAAATAACAGTGTTATTTTAGTATTATTTATATGACATTTATTAATATTTTCATTAGTTTTTATTTATTTTTTATAATTTCAGTTTTCATTTTAATTTTAGTTTAAGTTGTAGTCATTGTTATTAACTTTTGTAATTTTTATTATTTTTTATATTTCCATTTAGCTTTAATTTTAGCTTTATCTAATTTCAGTTTTAGTCATTTTAGTACTAGTTTTAGTTTGTCATCTAATATTTATATTTTATTTCAGCCAGTGTTATTTTAGTATCATTATAGTTTTATAGTATTAGAGGATACTATTATAGTTTTGTTAATATTTTGAATTAGACTTTATTTTCTGTTTTAATTTTAATTTTAGTTTCCGTTTTAGTCATTTTTGTCTTTTCTATTGCCTATATTGTTTTTATTACATTTTGATTTATATAATTTTAGTTATTTTAGTACTTAAACTTAATGAAAATGAAATATTTTATTGTATTTAGTTTCAGTTAATGTGTATTTATAAGTCCTTTTTTTAAATGCTGAAACATAAGTGGATGGGGATGTGTCTGCTGAGCTTTCTACAAACTCCTGCGGGTGCAGATTCTGTGTGGGCCTGCTAATAAGTCCGACTTAACTCTAATTGTCTAATTGCCTCCTCAGTGTATCATTAAGTATAATTAGATGTCAGTAGAGGAAGATGTCCGGTACAGTTTAAACAGATTTAAGCAGATCAACCCTTCAATTTAACATACACGTTAATCAGGAAAAAGACCCACATCAGGTCTTTGCGTCTAGCATTTCTTCTTATTCTTTAAAGACAAGCGTAACCGTATCCAGACTAATCTCAATACGAGCACACTGAACATCACACGGTGAATTTGGAGGTCATAGATTCAGTGAAAAGGAAGCGTTTAGCGCTTGTGTAACTGTATATAGTGATTAGAGCCACTGAGACCTCGGAGCTGCTGGCAGCAGGACAGGCTGTTGTCGTTGGGCTGGTAGTTCTGCAGGACTCCATTGCTGGGTTTGGATTTCTCATGATCTTGGGGTAAAGACGAGGGCAGCATGGCCTGTTCGCTCTCAAGACCTCCCTCCACCTCCTTGCCGGGCAGAGACTGGGGGAAACCGAACATGAAGAGGGCTGAGAAGAAGAGTAAGACACCGCAGAGGAGAAAGCCACCCCACCATGCACCGATCCAGCGGGGGTCATCAGGAGTGAGGTCCAGCTTAGCTGAGAAAAGCAAATACAGGATGGTAAATACATGAATAATGTGTAGCAGAATGATAAATCTCTCACAAATGCAGACATGTGAGAAGATCCGCTTCAAAATACATGATGCAATTCACAGACATCTGACATCAAAACCATTGTGCTGTTCAAAGTCATTGAAGTTACTGAGCTACGGTAAGTCTTATTCTACTAAAAATTTGCCTATAGAGATTTTATTGCTATATTTGGTGGAATAGATATAGCTGAAATGACCAAACCACTTAAATAGAAAGGGATGTCCATTTACTTTCAACAAGTAGGAAAATGAGCATCCTAAGTGTGAAAGTGTGAAAATCTTTTTGTCCTTTTCTTTTTCACTTGATTTACTTGCTGATTATTGATCATGACACTGAGACAGAATACGAGGCCTTGTGCTTTCAATTATTCAGTAGATGCAAGAGCCGTGTTGGTGGGAAACAAAATGCCTTGCAGCAGTTTTCTGTTGTTCTAAACTGAGTGTTTGTGTTGTATTTGGAGATACAGAGGATGAACTGAAACTCACTTGTGTCGATGAACAAAGCATCCACATAAAAGTTGGTACAGACAGATCCCAGGATGAAACCACAAGCAGGCCCAAACACCAGTGTGGAAAAGAGTATACCTGAAATACAATAATAAAAATGATCATTATAATATGCTCATTATACTATTACACAATAGTAAGTAAAGTAAGTTCCAAAATTTGTTGTTATATTTGTTTGCAATTTTACAGTGAATATTACCTCAAATAAAAATAAATTAAAATTGTATTTGTATGGTATTACTATTAAAATTACATTTTATAATATAACAATATTATTTAAAAGAAATGTAAATATTTCCGAATCAAGTTTATAATATAAAACAATGCTAATCAAATTTTCACAAATTAATATTATATATAAATACAAAAAAAATATTGTCTAGTATTATTATTAAAATTACATTTTATAATATAAGGATATTAGGATATGTATAAAATAAAAGTAAATATTTTCTAATCAAGTTTGTAATATAAAACAACAGTAATCGATTTTTCACAATATTTCGATAGCAGGGAGATATTTAATTTTTCGAGCCACAAGGTGGCAAACTCAACCCAAGGAAAAGTCTCTTCTAAAGAAGACAGAGCATCAGAAATACATTAGGAATATTTTTCTATGAGAAACGTTGCAGTGTGTATGCAGTGTTATGTTTTCATCCTTTTCCCATATTTTCCCCACATTTTCCAAAATAACACAGATTAATTCAAACAAGCAAAGGGCAACAGATGTCTACAGAAACACTGCTGTTGCTATATGAAATAATCATATACTGCATTTGCTGTTATTTGACATTACATGTTCCAAGATTAATAGTAGTGTATTAAAATAAAGCAATGAATACTATGTATAGTAATACTAAAAATACAGTATAATAAGGAGGAGCATTCACACACACAACCTTCCCAAACTATGAGCACAAGCTGTCTGAACACATATTCCAAGTGAAGAATGAGAACTCAATTTCAGAGTAATTCACCAGTTCTTGACAGGTTTGCACACAAAGCAAGAAAAAAGGGATTTGCTTTTGAGAGGAATGGAGTGGCAGAGCTCCGAACAGACGATGCTGTGCTGGCACCTATCAGAAGCGGCAGACATCTGGGGCACAAATCCCTATTAATATGCTGTCAAAAAGTGTGACAGCAGCCCAGCAATAGCCCTGTGGGTCACATGCAGCTTCTGAGATTATGAAGCCTTTATCCAGGCACTCTCATCAGCTTTCCTCATCCTCTGCCATTCTCTTATTAAAACACACACAATATTGTTTCATTAAACGATGTGTGCCTGTGCGCCAAAAGTGGTCTTCCCTTCTGAAAATGTTCCCGCCACGATTATTCAGCAAAGAAAGAGATAAAAGTCTCCAGTGATTGTGCCAAATGTGTCTTGCAGAACTGGGATTTGACGGTAGCAAGTCTGGCACTCAGATTTAGTTGTAATTTCTGATGCGGTACAGCAGGCTGGAAAGACAATGACAGAGAGCTAAAAACCATGGCCAGTCTGTTACTGACAGGTGTTGAGTCTGACCTTGCTTATGTCAGCCTTTTATGTTCTCAATACAGACCTCCTAATATTACAGGGAGTTTGGGAGTAAAACCATGCATATAAAAAAAAAAAGTGTGTTCAACCAAATAATTAATATTAATATTATTATTTAATAACTTAATATGTTTAGTATAATTATTTCATATTGTTGTTAATAATAATAATAATATACACACCAGGAGTGGTATGTGCATAAAGGAAATGGCAATAATTGACAGTACAAAAATAATAGAAAACCAATATGAAATATGCAATCAAACTGTGTAAATTACTCATTGACCTATTTAGCATGAAAATTAAATAAATTATAATGAGTTTACATGGTGAATTTCATAAATGTATTTAAACTACTATTCTAATTGTTATTATTATTCATTATTACTTAAGTACTCTAATAATTTTCAGTTTAGACTAGATTATAGGCTAGACTAGATTATTATTAACTTGATGACTTTCAGATATAACACTGAATGGCTATAGTTAATGATTTTGTTTAGAAATTCAAAAATAATCTATTAAATAGAGGTATAGGTGTCAGTATCTATATATCGATTATGACTTGCCATTAAAAATAATGACATTAAAAATATTATTTAAAATACTCCTTTATATTTATTCTACATTCATTTTGGGATTAAACATATGTATCTGAATACAAATTTTAATATTTGATTAAATTCATCACTTACATTTTTGTTGATTCATAGCCATAATTAAAAGATAAACCAGACAATAATTTAAGCTAAAAATCTAAATGTTCAGGTCAAATATTATGATAAAAAATAAATGATTGGTATTATAACAATTATAAATATTATAAATAGGAACTGTGCAAACTGTATCATGATTTTATATTGCTAAATCCCTGATTCATTTTTATTGATTCACAGCCCTAATTAAAAGATAAACGAAATAATAATTTGACCTAAAGATTTAACTATTTGTTTAGATCAAATATTAAAATTAATTATTAAAAAAATTGCAAATAAATTATTAACAATATAACAATTATAAATATTACAACTGGGAATCATGTAAACTGTAAGAAGTATATTATGAATATACTAAAAACTAAAAACCCAATCCAACCCACTGAAAACCACACTTATCAACTTCTGAGAAACATCACTTTGATGTCGATGTTGAAACAAAAGCTGCAGCGACCTGCTAGACTGTGACCTTTGAGTTAGCTGGAATTCCTCAAGTACTACTTAATGTGCCTGATATCCAGACAATGCTCAGTCTCTACACTGAAAAACAAACAAACACAGATCACACATTAAAATGCAGAAGGGGCATGCATCCTTTAATAGACCCACAATCAAGCCCACATACAGAGACACGCCACATCTGAGTACTGGCGCTGCATTTCAGTATCAGATGGATGGAGCTGAAGCCACAAGGTCAGTAACCCCAGAGGAAGAGACCTCACACTACACCGAGCCAGACAGACGCTTGAACCACAACAGATGTGGCTCACTATCCTCCAGCAACCAATTATAGAGTCTGTCTGGAAAAAATGAGTCACTTTCACCAGTCCCTACATTACAATGCCTCAGATCAAAGCGGGAGTTTAAATATGTGTGTGTATGAATGCTTGTTTGTGAGGTCTGTTTCCTGAGCTTCTGGCCATCTGAGGAAGTGTACTCACACATGCACACGTACACACTGCAAACCGCGTGTTCCGTTAGAAACCGCCATCCCAACTGTTGTGCTGCCCAGTGGAAGGCCCTGTGGTGTTTTTACTGCGCGTTGCCTTAGAGACTGCATGTGTATGTTTGCATCCATGTATGCTCATAGCAACGTTTCAGAACTGACAACCCTCACAGGAAACCTCAAAAAGGCAGCAGAAATCTTGCAATCACCTTTAAGGTATTGTGACAGCTGGTTTGGGCTGAGTACCCTACCACAGTGAGAACAGAAAAAAATTTCCATCAACTTCTTCAGAATGCAGTTTCTTTCTATATAAAGCAAAGTAACAGGTTCCGTGTGATTGATAAGCATCACTTCTTGTTAAACAAACATCATATTTAACCATAATGAGGTGGGTTTTGATAAGAAAATCAAAACTGACGTCCTAAAGTGGTTTTGGCTCATAATCTAATTGGAGATAATCGGATGATTCAAATGTCAAAAACTGGTATTAAATGTTTGAAATACATAGAGTAATTCACTCTTTTTTTCCCTATCTCTTTCTGCTGCTTCTCCAAAACTGTGTCTGTCCTGAGTGTCCTTTCATTTCTCTTGGGGACTTGTAACATATATAGGATTAATAAAAACCTCCTGAATTTCATGAACACTAAACTGGGCCTTTAGTCACTGGAGGAATGGGCTACTTCCTACATCCTTTCCTCTAATCATCAACATGCAGGTAATTATGTCCAATTTACTGCATAGTACAAATTCGGTGGTAAGCATTTTTAACTTTACAACTTAAATCATCATTAAAGCAAAGAGCAGGTATTAAAATGGAATGCTGTGTAAGGTCCATGATTCACTTAAATACCTGGGAAATTGGTCTTTCTTCCAGGAAGTCTTGTTTGGGTACCAAGGAAAAACATTTATGTGTGGCCTATTCCACTGCCACATTTTAACATCCACTTTCAGCACAGCCTAGAGATAATGGTATAACGCTGCAGCCTTTTATTGCCTGAAATGTCCTTTTAGAGGACAGAAAATAATGACATTTACTGAGAATTACACATGAATCAGCTAAGTGTCTATGATCATGAACTCTGACAACCCTTCAAAAAAGCAAATTCTTAAGCAAATTATGTCTACTTTCCATACTTTATAACACATTTAATGTGTTCTAATTTACATTGGAAAAAAGGTTCTGTTAAAAATTAATTTAGCAAGTGTATAAGAACTAAAACAGATGACTTTAATGAGGTGTAAAATGACTGCAAGAAACACGATGGTGTGTTAAATTATCATCTGAGACAGTTTTATGTGACACTTTATGATAAATCGCTAACACTGTATGTAGATTGCATTTAGGATAAATAATAAGACAAATTCCTTCAATATTCGTATTCAATATCCAAAACAATTGCTCAGTTTTATAAAGATTTGAACACAAGCTGTTTTTTGTACTTCACACAACAGACGACACTCACACATCTCAGCAGGTCTTTAGCAGTTATCAATTCAACATTATTTTCAGCGTGAGACAGAAATGATAAATATGTGGAGAGCAAAGAAAACCAAGCACTATATAGAGCAATAGAATTAACACCGTTCTTACAGAAAGAGTGGGAAAATAATGGGCTTCTCACACTGAAGACATCGCTAACCCTGTTAGAAATAGCTGTTAAATTGTTAAGCCAAGATCTACTGCATTCTCTCGCGGCACACATTTTATGCTTTACATTGTGTTAGTATTATACTTTTGCCACCACAATTCTGCAATAAGTCCAGAAGATAAATCTTATAATTATCTTATAATTTTTTTATGTTTTTGAAAAAAGTATTTTATTCTCACCAAGACTGCCTTTATTTGACAAAAAGATAGAGGTAATATTATAAAATACTTAAA